CCGGAACAGAAGAGTTGCGGATTGTTTGTTCTTAAAATGCCACTCACAATATGGCGGCAACGTTGACGCTAAACCACACGCTCATCGGGAAGGTGTCTTTCTCTCTAACGTCAACGATTAGCTAACATCCACGATTTAACTTCGCATTCACATTTGTTTCTGTACATGATGTAGAGCCCTGTATATCAATAAAAACTGGTTGAAAATACATTTACTTAAGAATACTTTCATGCTTTCAGAGACAGGCGCTGGGTGTGTCGTCACATTATGCGACAATGGTGCGACCATAGATATCCATAATAAAGGCTAGATGTCTCGTCCGCGCTGCTGGCCAATGGGGGTCGACGTCCGCACGTGGCGGCCATCTTACCACAGGCAGCTCGCTCATTCGTAGCATTGTGATTCAATGGCGCATGTACTGAAATAACCATAACTTCCTCAATTGTCTAACTATTCTCAAACTGTTTGGTTTGTTAAAAAAAGTCAGACATGTAGTTGTGATACTGCGCACTTAGGAATAATTATAACCATGGAATTTCATATGAAAAGAACACTGAATAGAACATACAGGTGCAATAAATATACACACGCACAAGGTATTTATGTTAAATCAATATATGCTATTAAAACTCAGTGTACAGAATGGCAACCATATATATATGGTCCCAGAAATAAATAAATAAATAAATAAATAAATATATATATATATATATATATATATATATATATATATATATATATATATATATATATATATATATATATATATATATATATATATATATATATATATAATATATATATATATATATTTTATATATATACAATATATATATATATATATTTTATATATATACAATATATATATATATATATACAATATATATATATATATATATATATATATATATATATATTGTATATATATATATATAATATATATATATATATATATATATATATATATATATATATATATATATATATATATATTGTATATATATAAAATATATATATATATATAATATAAATAATATATTATATATATATATATTGTATATATAATGTATATATACAATATATATAATATATATATATATTTTATATATAATATATATATACAATATATATATATATATATATACAATATATATAATATAATATATATAATATATAATATATATATATATAATATATATATATATATATATATATATATATATATTGTATATATATATATATAATATATATATATATATATATATATATATTGTATATATATAAAATATATATATATAATATAAATAATATATATATATATTGTATATATATATATTGTATATATATATATAAACCAAACTGTTTGTAAATCCGTCAAGAATTCAATGAGATAAGAGTATTTGTGTTTGTGCTGATCACTCACCTTACATTAAGTACCACAGAGCACACCAGAAAGCCTGCCTGTGGTAAGATGGCCGCCCGGTGATGACGTTTGAGACTCCGCCGTAAGACATCTAGCCTTTATTATGGATATCTATGGGTGCGACAATGAATTTAACCAATAGAAATGAGTGTCATGTGACATCTAGCCAATCAGATCAAACCATGTATTTGAAATAACTATAAATACACCACCCAGCTTCCTAATTATTAGTTTCCTCTTGCACATGACTCTTGACCGTCTTTTAGTGGGAGAAAACTACTTTCTTTCTTCTTTGTCATCCTAACTCCCTGGCTTATTTATTTGTAAAATGGTAAGTTTTATTCTGTATGATTCTGTTTAATTAACTGGTTGTGTTTTATTTGGTAATCTCTATCGAGCTTACTAGGAGAGATATAGACAATTAAAACAAATTTACAGATTAAAAGCTGTTTCTTAATGTATTGGATTATTAATGGGTCGAATGAAGGCAGAGCATGAAGTTTCCAGGTTTCAGCCCATATTGAAGCTGAGTCATGGGCCTGTCACCGGCTGGGGACTTCAGCCTGTGACGCATTCCTCTGTTTCAGTGCCTTTTTGAAGAGGCCTCATGGGCGGCTCTGTCCAACAAAGGCTTTGTCCTTTCAGCTTATTTTCATGGTTGAACTGGCAGACTATGCAGCTCAATTTTGATAAACCATTTAATCTGCTGCAGCCAGTTTTCTTTCTTTTTTTTTGACTAGCCAACTCCAAAGAAACTACAACAGTTTAGTTTATGGTGTCCCTTCTAATTTTAGTTATTGTGATTAAACAGTTGGTAGTAAGGATATTTATTACATTTAACTTATTATTATTTTTTTTTTCACAGCGTGAGTGCATCTCTATCCACGTCGGTCAGGCTGGTGTCCAGATTGGCAATGCCTGCTGGGAGCTCTACTGCCTGGAGCATGGGATCCAGCCGGACGGACAGATGCCCAGTGACAAGACTATTGGTGGGGGAGATGATTCCTTCAACACCTTCTTCAGTGAGACTGGAGCAGGGAAGCATGTTCCCAGAGCTGTTTTTGTGGACTTGGAGCCCTCAGTCATTGGTACGCTTGACAATGATTTTCTTGGAAAAATGACCCAATTCCAGAAGAATTAGTAAAATAAAAACCTGTCTTCTCAGATGAGGTTCGCACTGGGACCTACCGCCAACTGTTCCACCCTGAGCAGCTGATCACTGGGAAGGAGGATGCTGCTAATAACTACGCCAGAGGACACTACACCATTGGCAAAGAAGTTATTGACCTTGTTCTGGACAGGATTCGTAAGCTGGTAAGCTAGTAGGATTTATTTTACGTGTATGTTGTGGATGTACTGTATTTTAAGCATGTTGAATCTTTCTACAGGCGGATCAGTGCACAGGTCTGCAGGGCTTCCTGGTTTTCCACAGCTTCGGTGGAGGAACCGGTTCTGGTTTCACCTCCCTGCTGATGGAGCGTCTCTCTGTGGACTACGGCAAGAAGTCCAAGCTTGAGTTTTCAGTCTATCCAGCCCCTCAGGTGTCCACTGCTGTTGTGGAACCCTACAATTCCATCCTGACCACCCACACCACCCTGGAGCACTCTGACTGTGCCTTCATGGTGGACAACGAGGCCATCTACGACATCTGCCGTAGAAACCTCGACATTGAGCGTCCCACCTACACCAACCTGAACAGGTTGATCAGTCAGATCGTGTCCTCCATCACTGCATCTCTTCGCTTTGATGGTGCCCTGAACGTTGATCTGACAGAGTTCCAGACCAACTTGGTGCCGTACCCCCGTATCCACTTCCCTCTGGCCACATACGCCCCTGTGATCTCTGCAGAGAAGGCTTACCATGAACAGCTCACTGTTGCTGAGATCACAAACGCTTGCTTCGAGCCAGCCAATCAGATGGTGAAATGTGACCCTCGTCATGGCAAGTACATGGCCTGCTGCCTTCTGTACCGTGGCGATGTGGTGCCCAAAGATGTCAATGCTGCCATCGCCACCATCAAAACCAAGCGATCCATCCAGTTTGTGGACTGGTGTCCCACTGGTTTCAAGGTTGGCATCAACTACCAGCCACCCACTGTGGTTCCTGGTGGGGACCTGGCCAAGGTCCAGAGGGCGGTGTGCATGCTGAGCAACACCACTGCTATCGCAGAGGCCTGGGCTCGGCTGGACCACAAGTTCGATCTGATGTACGCCAAGCGTGCCTTCGTCCACTGGTATGTGGGTGAGGGAATGGAGGAGGGAGAGTTCTCCGAGGCCAGGGAGGACATGGCAGCTCTGGAGAAGGATTATGAGGAGGTTGGGGCTGATAGCTTGGGAGAAGAAGATGAAGGAGAGGAATATTAAAAAGGCATTCCCTATCATTTCTGAATGTTCCCAATAAAATTTTCTGGCTGCACTAATTCTTCTGTGTTTGTGTGTGTGATGCTAATTCGGTTATCCAAAGTAGTAACATTTCCTTGGTAACCTTTGGAATTCTCACAGTAATGCTGGTTTGATGTTGGTCCAAAGAGCAGCTGTTAATTTTCAACAATGGATGAAGGAAAAAAAACTTGTGTTCAGTCTTTAACTGGAGTACAGACTCCCACAATGGGCCACCAGTACTGACCTTTAAATGTTGGGTGTTGACCCAAACTTTATGGTATATTTTCAAATCTAAAATGTGTAAATCTTCCCGTGCAGGCTATTGGGACTGCTTGGTTTTAAAACCTACATGTCTGGAGGCAACATGCAGTTACAAGCTTTGAAGCTGGCAAAATGTACTTGAACCCAAGTGTGTTTTTTTTAACCCTGGATCTTTGCTTCTGTTTAAGACAGATCCATGACCTTGAGCAATGGTTCATAAAGCCATTCCCTGGGAAGGGCTCCCTGTCTAAATGTATCTCAAGCAAGAATACTTTAGTCAATTTCTGAAGCTGGGCTGGAGTAAAAGGAAGATTCTGAGGGTATTAAGAGTAAACTCTTGCTGTTCTGTGGAAAATATGGGTAAACTATTCAATTTAAAGGATGATTTCACCTCATTGGCCACAAGATGGCAGCTGTGAGAAAAGGGCATCAATAGCATCAGTCCAAGCATTGCTAAAAGCCCAACTTGGGGGCTTTAAAAGAGCAACTAGTAAATGCTAGAAGTAATGGTGGCTATAAATCTGTTACAGAGGCAACACTCAGCTTTCTGAATCACTAATGGAATGCTCTGACATTAACGCACCTAAATTTGAAATATTTTCTGTTAGTGTTTTGGATACTGGATTTAAGCTTCAAAGGAAAATTCTCTCATGCAGGTTGTCTCATGGTCTCCTTAAGCTCTTCTTTCCTTAGAGCTCAGCTTCTCGCAGAACAAATTTTCGTCAGCTGAGATTTCCATCTAAAATACTAGCATTAAAATTGCCATTTGCTAGCAGTGTTCACCAAGCTTACAAACACATGGTATTTGTTTTCCATTAACCTCTTTTAAACAATATAAAGTCATAGAGCTAAGCAGTTAGCTTTTTTATAATTATGTAGTGTATACCTATATGTGGCTGGATTTTACAAAGGAAAAAAAAAGACAAAGTTGTATCACTGGATGTTCTACAAAAATAGCTTTGTTTATTCTGGTGTACAGAGTAATGCTACCATTTCAGGGAGCCAATCCGTTTTCAGTTGTTCGGCAGGAGCCATTTCTCTTCTGGGCCCCTGGCCCCACTGGAACTCGCTTATATCAGAGAAAATCTCACTCAGTTCCAGCAGGGCTTAAGTCTCTCCTTCTGGGGCTTCATCAGAGGTAGTAGTCTTCCTCCTCTATGTCACCATGTGTGTCCTGGAAGCCCAGCGTTTGGATGTCGTGAGTGATGTCAGAGATGCGGCGATTAAATTCCTGAGACCCTGTTGCTAGGGAGCCATTGTCGTACCTACTGAGAGATGAATAGACGTTAACTTTCTGACAGGCTGGCTTACAGTGTTTAGTGGTATAGATGGACTAACTTAAGCCTACAGGTGCATCTTAATATGAGAATATCTTTTAAAAAAAGGTAATTTGTTTGACTTTCTGTGGTATAGTATAACTTTCATATAGGTAAATCAAGAATAAAACCACCAAAGCATTTTCTTTATTAAAGTGCAACATCTACAGGGATGATGAGTGCATTTTTGTGACCTCAAGGCACTCTTAAACTGCTTTCATTCACAATCTGCACAAAGCTTCAATTCTCCCTGTGCACCTTGTGTTTCCCTCTTGCAATAGCAAGTTATGCCTATAACCTATTTAAAAATTTTTTTTTTCTTTACTTTTTGAGATAACGGTAAAACCAAAACTCTAATTCTTTTTTTTATGTAAGCAAAAACTTGGTGAGTAGAAATGGTTTTCAAACACGGAGGTTTTCTCTCCACTCAACTTTCCATAATTAATGTACCGGTAATTAATATATCAACATTTTTTTTAGAGAAACCCCATTTTGTGTTTTCAGTTGCTATAAGTCATAAAAATGATCAGACATAACATTTCTAATCGAACCCTTTAAAAAAAAAATGATTTAAGATAACATGAGCACTGAATGAAAATATTGAAAACAAATAACACATTGGATGTTATTGTAATTTATTTTGATGCACCTTTAAATCTCTTCCATCGGAATAATCAGGAATTCCAATATTCACTTAGATTTTCACGTACCCTCTCATGGCTGTGGCCGCGGTGTTGCTCATGCTGCGTTTGATACGTCCAAAGCTGTCGGTTAAGATTCCACCTTCTCGGATCCCGATGCTTTCAAGGAACGTCTCAAACGCCCCAACGTCTCTGTCTGGAATAAACGGCCGCATGCCTGGAAAACAAAGGACACAGGATCATTATTCAGGTTAAGGAAAAAAAAAATGTTTTCTAGTGTTTTGTGAGATACAGTGTATGGTGTGATATCCAACCCCCAAAAAGCCGAAGTTGAATCTTAAAATTAACAACAATGTTATTTTTTAAAACATTAAACACATATCATTTCTAATTTTTTTTTTTCTGCCTTACTGAGGATATCTCATATCTATCACAAATCCAGCAGCATTGGAACTATGGTATACATTTCTAAGTATTTTTAAATACAAAATCTTTAGGTGTGAAATTCTTGTCCAAATTCTTTTTTTAACATTTTAGAAGATTTTAGAGGCACTTTCAAAAAAGATAAAATTGTCCAGAGAGCTCTTCCAAACGAAATTTCTTTTTGTTTTTACACTTGTCTAAGTCTAAGATAATGAAGAATTTCTAGTGGGTGAAGTGGAGTGAAAGTCCCTAGAAGAAAAATCTCCAGCAGTGTCGCAGTCAAAGCCACCTGAGCTCAGACCAAGTTACTGGCGGCGGAAATACTAGATAGTCACAGTTCAGGAAAAACAGAAACAAAACTGCCTCTATACGATGCCTATTGGAACTGCTGTAAGCATAGATATGTAAATATGTGTGTAGATACTGTGAAAAAACAAAATTTGCACTCAGTCATTTTTTCCAGTAGGAGAAAAAATCTCACTCTAGTAGTAGAGTAAGGTTAGTGTCGATTGACCCTGAACTGGCTCTGTTTTCTGTAGCCACATGTTGGTCCCAGTTTGGCCACCTTCATGAAAACCTTCTGGCTCTACAACTGTAGAATAATTGTCAATAATTGTATCAAATATTGCAATGCTGGTCTCTTTAACATTCTGATGGTTTCGGACAACAACCCTAATTCATGTGAATTTCAGAGATCTAGATTTTTACATCAACAAGATTATCCACAAAGCCTGACGCATCCCTCCTGACAGGACTGCAGTCAGGACCAGACCAGAATATCACATTAAAAGACTCTTCGGTGTCTTCAGTTTCCCATTTCAATCTGAAAAACTAACACGAAGAGAAAAGACAATTAGGAGAAATTTATTGATACAATTACTTGGTCTTTGGCGCTCAGGCCTCGGCAGGAAACATAGCACTTCATTTTGATAGATTTGCATGAACAAGAGCAAAGAAGAGGGCTGTTTCCCCCCAGGCCTGAAACTGGTGTTGGTGTGGAGATATATTAAGTTGGTCAGTCTGTAGACTGCTGGTTAGCAAGATGGTATGCTAAGCTTTATGGGGAGATCCAATGGACTGCGTTAACTGATACTAGAGCTTCATTCAGGGACCTGGAAGATGGAAGTCCAGCTTGATAACACAGGTTGAGAGAACCTGTCCATAATGAGCAAGCATGAAGCGACAGTGGAGAGGAAAAACTCCCTATTGGGAAGAAACCTCTGGCAGAACCAGGCTCAACATGGCTGTCTTCTGCCGGACCGGTTAAGATAAGACAGGGAACGCAGAAAGAGTCCAGGAGGAATTACACTCTGATGAAGCTTTAGCTACGATGGTGGAGGAGGGGCTGGAGATGGGTTGAAACGGTGTGATCTGAATAAAGTCACAGCGCATCCGCCGCCTGCGCACAGGAGCAGACAGGTGCGTATCAGAGGCCTTTTGAGATGAACTTTGGATGCCGATAGGCTTTCGTGGAGGTGGGGTTCAAAGTTGATTGGCTGTGTAGCAGGATGATGTAGGAAAGCAATTACTTTCTTCAGTTTAACTTCCGCTTAGGCTCCATATTTCAGGTCACCTCATAGACCTGTGCAAACACTGATCACCTGTTTATTGTGTATACATGTGCAGGGCTTGTGGTTGAAGAGGAGCAGCATATAAGTTGGCTTTGCTTCAGGTCTTCAAAGTTATCAAAGTGTGACTTTCAGTCTGTAGAAATTTTTCATTAAAAGTATAGTGGAGAATGTTCCCTTTCTGGGTGGATAATCAAAATAAGTGGTCGTTCTAATTGTCAATCATTCTGGTGATATGTTTACATAAGGCCATCATACGTGTTTGTCCCAATTTTCACTTACCAGTGGTGAGTCTGACATATTGGAAAAATTACGAATCTTTTGGAAAGTAAGCTTATATGAGCGATGCAAACAGCAGAAAACAGAGCGTTCACGAGGAGAAATGGGCTTTTGCATGCTTTTGCAAGCGTTTTACAGGCTTTCCATCTTGGGAGCACGGTTGTGTATATCCAAGTGGAGAGGGCGGGTATTTTCAAAAAATGTGTGAAAATCCTCCAATATACCTTTAATATGTACAACATTTTCTTTCAAGATATATTCCTTCTGTAGTTTTTCTACAGAAGAAATATTTCTGTACTTTTTCCTCTCCACACACAACCAGCATCAGGTTGTGCTATGCCACAGACCACAATCCTAGTCTGTATCTAATTCTCACCAAGCAGCAGGAATTTGCGGTCATCTCCATATAGTTGCAGCAACTCCGAGCAGAAGAGGTCGATGTTTGAACCCAGCCTGTATTCTCTCAGCAGGACTGCAAACTGCTGCAGCTCCAGAGGATTCAGTTTGTTCCTCAGCTGCACAAAGGCATACAGATAGACAGTCAGAGGATTTAATTTGTATAGTTTCTTTTCATAAAAAACACTTTTTTTCTTTTAACATTTATTTTGCGACATGATGACGTATAGTGCAGTCAAATCAGCTCCGTCTTGCAGAGGATGTGCTTTAATTTCTGCTCTTGAAGATGGCAAATGTTGTCCACACTCACTGTGATCATGTACTCCTGCATCAGCAGCAGGGCGGGGTTGCTGTCTGCTCCATCACTGGTTGATGCCAGGCTACGATGTGAGTCCTGCAGGGAGATGGATGAGTTCTCGCTGTATGTCTCACTGTAGTAGAGCTCAAAGGCCTCCTGGGAGCCATCGCTTACAAAGAGGGAAGGATGCATTCAGTCAGTGCCAGTGGCTTTGTTGGAAGACATTTCAGTTTGCAGCAATATAGAAAAAGCACTGTGGGTAATACACACCAGCATACAGAAAGTAGTATACATAGTTACTCACAAAGAACTGCAGCAGCTAAACTCTGGATCATAACTGTAGGACATGTCAGTCAGGCAGCTGTCACCTGTATGGAGATACAACAAAAAATGTTTTACTATCTACCATGTGCATGCGGCGTTTCTTTTATATTTGTTTCTTTGCGTTTTGGGTTGGCTCAAAGAGTAGAACTGTAATATAAATGGTGTGTGAATCCTATTATGAAAGACAATGCGAATGAGAAATGGACCCATCAGAGAACACACAGTGGGGTGGGGGCCTACTGTCAGCATCAGCATGGAACAGCCAATAGGATGCTAAATTTAAGTTTTTATTTTTTTTATTTTTTGTGTGTATATTGTTTTCATAATATACACTAAAGATTATTATTAGAGTTCTTTTTCCTGTTTCCTTCAAACTAAAAGTCCCTCAAAAAATAAAAACTGCAATTTTAATATGTTTGGATAAATAAATGTCAATTAAATAACAATAACAATGTCAATTAAATAAATAACAAACATATATATATATATATATATATATATATATATATATATATATATATATGTTTGTTATTTATTTAATTGACATTGTTATTGTTATTTAATTGTATATATATATATATATATATACATATGTATATATATATATATATATATATATATATATATATATATATATATATATATATATATATATATATATATATATATATATATATATATATATATATATATATATATATATAAATATGTACACATGTCTACATGCTTTTAGGCAAGACAATCTCCTGCAGTTCAAAGCGAGCATCAGTATGGGGAAGAAAGGTGATTTGAGTAACTTTGAACGTGGCATGATTGTTGGTGCCAGAAGGGCTGGTCTGAGTATTTCAGAAACTGCTGATCTACTGGGATTTTCACGCACAACCATCTCTAGGGTTTACAGAGAATGGTCCGAAAAAGAAAAAACATCCAGTTAGCAGCAGTTCTGTGGGCGGAAATGCCTTGTTGATGCCAGAGGTCAGAGGAGAATTGCCAGACTGGTTCGAGCTGATCGAAGGGCAACAGTGACTCAAATAACCACCCGTTACAACCAAGGTGGGCAGAAGAGCATCTCTGAACGCACAGTACGTCGAACTTTGAGGCAGATGGGCTACAGCAGCAGAAGACCACACCGGGTGCCACTCCTTTCAGCTAAGAACAGGAAACTGAGGCTACAATTTGCACAAGCTCATCGAAATTGGACAATAGAAGATTGGAAAAACGTTGCCTGGTCTGATGAGTCTCGATTTCTGCTGCGACATTCGGATGGTAGGGTCAGAATTTGGCGTCTACAACATGAAAGCATGGATCCATCCTGCCTTGTATCAACGGTTCAGGCTGGTGGTGGTGGTGTCATGGTGTGGGGAATATTTTCTCGGCACACTTTGGGCCCCTTGGTACCAATTGAGCATTGTTGCAACTCCACAGCCTACCTGAGTATTGTTGCTGACCATGTCCATCCCTTTATGACCACAATGTACCCAACTTCTGATGGCTACTTTCAGCAGGATAATGCGCCATGTCATAAAGCTGGAATGATCTCAGACTGGTTTCTTGAACATGACAATGAGTTCACTGTACTCAAATGGCCTCCACAGTCACCAGATCTCAATCCAATAGAGCATCTTTGAGATGTGGTGGAACGGGAGATTTGCATCATGGATGTGCAGCCGACAAATCTGCGGCAACTGTGTGATGCCATCATGTCAATATGGACCAAACTCCCTGAGGAATGCTTCCAGCACCTTGTTGAATATATGCCACGAAGAATTGAGGCAGTTCTGAAGGCAAAAGGGGGTCCAACCCATTACTAGCATGGGGTACCTAATAAAGTGGCCGGTGAGTGTATATGTTATATGTTGTAATGCATAAATGCATTAATTGAACTGTGATACCTGTGCCAATAGATGGTTGATTTAATGAGTATGTTCCGCATTAATCAGCTGCTGAGCCCACTATCAGATGCAATCTCCTTTCTGCTCTGAAGCAGCAGGATGCTGCCTGTCAGTCTCCATTGTGGCTTAAGGATAGCACAGTAAATTACATCCCTTCCAGTGAGGCTGAGCCCCTTAGGGGGTCTATGGAGTGGGTCGTGAAGCTGGGGTTAGATTCTGATTGGCAGAATGTTACTTTAGGATTTATTTTGACAGTGACCAGACGGCGAAGAGATATTCCTCATGACACTCAGACAAGAGAAGAAAAGCGATCATTTAGTAAGCACAGTCGTCTCGTGCTGAACTCTTGCCATGGTTTCCGGAGTTCATCATTTCAGAGAGCTTCATAACAGTTACTTTTATTCCATTGTAGTGATATATTAAAATATCTGATTACATTTGATATTGATAGCAGCTTTGATTTATTTACTTATTCCTAAATGAAATGGCTCACCATAAATCAGTCCTGAACTGATGCTCCTTTCCCGAAATCTTCCAAAATTATACACTTTTTTCCCCACTAAATACTGGTTTTTAACTGCCTCACACACTGTGCCTCTATTCATTCACACACACCCCTAAAAGCTGATCATTGTCTCCTCTCAGTGGTCTATTATGCAACCCTAGTTTGCAGTTTTTCTTAGCTTGCAGCTGTTTTTGCTGCTTGCAGCATTTACCATAGACATGTGTTTTGTATGTTAGGATAATTTTTGTTTTTTAAGTGGGTTTCGTGTTTGCAGGGCTGCTGAATATTTTCTGTTTGCAGTATTTTTTTTTAATTCTTTGTATATTTTGGGGGTTAGTGTGTTTTCAAATGTTTTAGGTTGCCTGTCTCATTTCTGTGATTGCAGGACCTTTGAATTAGCTGTAAATCATTTATTTGCATGCCGTTTGAACCACAAGGCCACCATAGAAAGGCTTGGTAGCCTTTACATATCCCTTCTCAAAGTAAACTGTTGATATTTTCTCTCCTTAGTTCATGTGCACAAGACGAAGAAAGGCTATAGCCTAAATCTGAAAAAAAAAAAAAAAACTAAACTTGTTCAGTGTTTTCTAATCATGGGACCTTACGTTTTTATATGGCTATATTGATGGATTGATTTATTTTTGTACATATTGTAGGAAAAGCAAGTCTCACTCCTTTCAAGCCAAAATCGGTCTGGCATGGTGTGGTGAAATCCGGCCCTGTCAACACATTCAATGGTCTGGTGTCCGTAAATGACCTGGAACATCTGGCAAATGAGGGAACAGTACTCCTCTGCAGCATCCTGCAATCATAACACAAAGGTTATACCTAAGGATAACTATTTAAAACAAATAAATATTTCTCTCTCTATGTGGCATAGTCAGCTTTTTTTTATCTGACTGCTATGGTAACCCTAGAGATGAATAAATGACAAATAAACAACCAACCCTCACCCTGTTCTCAACAGCCAGGATGACCAGGTTACAGTAGGCATCAGGAGAGGGTGTAGGTTCCAGTGGGTTGTAGTTCCTCCTTTCCCAACTGCCATAGCTTTTACCTCGTTCCCAGCTCCCAGTGCAGGCTTGACGCCGCTCCCAGCTCCCTCCACCACCCCCTCCTCTTCTCTCCCAGCTCCCTGCTCCTCCACCACCTCCATGCCTCTTCTCCCAGCTGCCTCCCCCACCTCCAACCCCCCAGTTCCCACTCATAGGTCTTGCTCTGCGGTTCTCCCAACTCCCACCTGTTTTCCTTGTTTGCTGTCTCCTCTCCCAACTCCCCCCCGCTCTCCTCCTCTCTAAACTCCCCCCTCCTGCCCTATCTCCCCCTCCTCTCTCCACATTTTGGTTTTTGTCATGGTTACTTCTGGAGAGAGATGGTCTCCAGTCAACCCCACAGATTGTATGTCTGCGCTCCATTGTGCCCCCTGCTGGTCGGGACTCTGCATTGCAGCCCATGGTTTGTCGCCTCCCATCGATGCCTTGTGTTTTCTTTCTGTCCAGACTGTCATCATCAGCAACCACAGAATCCACATTTAGTCCTGCAGAAAGCAGAGTTGAACACACAATCACTTGATTACAAGAGTCTAGGATGTCAGGCAGTATTTGAGCTTTCTTCCAGTTGGATAAATGCAGAGGCATAGCCAGAAATTTTTTATAAGGGTGGCCAGGCAATAACTAACGTACACTGAGGGGTGGCCAAAAGTGGATAGGCACCAGAATCTCACGGTCAATCTACACTGTTCCTACAGGAAAATGCACGAGCAGAACATCCATATTTTCTAAATAAAGACAAACTATACTTTCCCACAGCCTTTCATAGCAAATAACGGCATATATTTAACCCCTTGAACCCTACGGACCCGCCGGCGGGTCCAGCTGCTACATGACCTCGTAACTTTACCAAACCCCCAGTATTGATGTAAAAAACATATTTGGCACAGTTTGGTGACATTTATGGATAAATGTGCCAAACTGGCCCCTCCGCCTAAGAAATTTCTCACTAATACCATTCTAAAATAAATATGATTCATCTGATTGAGTCCACATTTTGTATATTTTTACACAACATTTAGATTTAAAAGTCTGTACTACTTTTTTGTGCTATAAATAATATTTTGGTAGTGTTTTGCAATGTTTATTTCAAAGAAAATTTTGGCGAGGTTCAAAAAATGCAAAATATTTTGTATTTTGTCCCTAATATTTCAGGCAGGGTCAAAGCTACAATGGTGCTGACACCAGAAAACCATTCTATGACATCTTACCTTTACAGAGGTACCAAAAGTTTCTTCTTAAATCTAATAGGTTTGAGGCTATAAGTTATTTACTTTTGTGTGTTTTTGTCAGGCAGAAATTTATTTATACCCCCTTAGCGTGTAAGAGGTTAAACATCCATGCTTTCTAAATAAAAGGTATAGTGGATAAAATTCTTTCAGGCTTGAGTTCTGGGGCGAAAATCTTTTCCATTGCCATTACTTACCTACTTTTATCGATAATCATTCTGCATAAAATTTATATTTACAAGTGCTAATATCTACATAAATTGATAATTTTATTAAAATTGTTATTTATCCATGATTTTACTGAAGACTCCTAGATGACTTGCAGAGACACATCTCTTTACCCCATATGAAACAAAATCTAGTTTTGAAAAGAGCATGAATTCTGTACTTAATGTTAGTACATTGATGTGCATAAATAACCACAGTGTCTGTGTTGTGAAGTCATTGTTAATATATGAGAATGAAAATGTTTTGAATATTTCAAATGAGAGTATTACTGCTGCCATCATCTGTATTAAGGGGAAAAAATGGTAGGGGTGTCTACAGGGGTGGCCAATGATTGGCTAAGGGTGGCCATGGCCACCCAGCTAGCTTTTTTATTTCAATTGCGCTGTTTTTGTTGAGAGATTATTCTTGTAAAAAATATTTTTAAATCTATACCATGGCCAGCTTGTTCCATAGCTCTACCACAACAGAAAATTAAAATGTTTCAATCACTTCAAGGCCAGGTGTCCTGAGGTGCTACCAGTTGGTTGTGCAGAGTCATTTAGAAAGGAACGTATGCCTTCCTTTGTTGAATTTCATCAACTTTCAACTTCATCTATTTATTAAAGTCTAACTCACCCCAAAATCAACGTTTTGGAGACAAATAGTAAAAACTAGGTATACTGGAGGAAATTTTATTGTTAAATTAAGGTTGCATCCAGTGTCAGCCTTGCTGATACTGCATTGTACTTGATGACAGTGTTGATCTGAAAGTCAAATCTAATCAAATTATTGTTAAAAAAATGCATGAACACTTTTCAGCACTTTTTTTTTTAGATCTGTGGTCTGTGTGATTTAAGCCTGTATGGCTTATTGTTACCTATGCAGCAGCTAGGTTTGCTTATTCCTTGGACCCTACCTGTCTTGAGGATCAGAAGGTGTAGTGCGTCATCTCGCAGGTAGGAGGCAGCAGCGATCTCATGTGTTGGGATCCTCATTAGCAGCTTCTCGTTGTTTCTCCATGTCAGCAGCAGACAGCGAGCAGAGAGACTTAGAATACAGTCCTGATCAATGCTTGTCTTCAGTGGCAGTACCTTCAGCTGCTACTGACAAACAAAAATTAAAGATTAAGGCTCCATTCATGTTAGGTTACCTGCATTACATTAGAAATCACATAGAAAATAGAGGGTCTTTGAACAGTCTTCATGAGGACTTCTTGAAAGCCTAAAGAAAGTATTGTGTTCCCTTTCACATTAGATGGATGTGCAAGGTGGTTTTGAGCATATTGAAAGTTTCTAATTTGAGTTCAGATGTTTTATTGTGATAGAAGTACATCAGGGAGATTTTCACCATCATAATTTGATCCTAAGTACATTGAAGACCTGCTACACTGGCCTTATGCAAATGGAATAACCTCATCACAACAGAGGCTGTTGGGGTTTATAAGTAATTTATTGTAATGGTTCTTTGTACATTGCCTCTCGCTGCTGCTCTGGCTGCAACCAAAGCACCTCATTAGGACACTGCAATCCACCATCCATGATCTTTACTCCAAAAAATTCGGAAATAACATCAGACTCATAAAACAGATCAATATGTGTTTCCTCAAGCTCAGTGCCAGCGCATACACCTTCATATTGACTGTGGGCTTAACTTTGCTCGTTGCCTGAAGACAATTATTTTTTTTCTTTTTATTTTGTAGGCTGCTTCTAAGAAGTCTCATCATACTTTACGATGTTGAATAGGGTTCATTATATAATTTTGCAGGATTGGAAGCAAGTCTTGTAGAATTAACTTCATAACTTTCATGTATCAGCTTAAAGTGAAAAACATAACGTTTAGATGATTCCTTTTGACTGCATTCGCCAATGTATCCACAAAGGACCCTTTTCGGAACGCTTGCTCTTCAGAATGCCACTCTCCTGCTTTCCCTCCTATAGCTGATTACAATTCTTTTCTCATCAGCGAGGATGAAAGTTATGGTGGTCGTGCCGAAACCTCTTAGACCTATATAGAATGGAACCTTCTGCTGCAGGTATGATCAGCTTTTAACTTTTGTGGTATAATAGCGGCAGAGAAAAAACTGTTTTACCTGTGAGTACTGAGAAAGAAGTGGCATCATGAGTGCCTTGAAAAAATGTGAAAACATGCTTTTCAAAATTTTCCCTGCAACTCACGGAAACTTTGAAGCCTTAATCTGCAGTAAAATGTGGCCAACCTAAGTTAATATAAAAACTACTTTCTTAAAGCAATGAACCTTAATGGAGAAGGCCTATTTGCATATCTGGCAAAACAGAAAGTCGACTGAATCACAGAAGCTGGATATTTACATTTCTGGAGCTTATTGTAAACGCTGAAAAGACATTTACACAATTACATGGTTCTGATTGGATTCCATGTTTACTTGCAAACTTCAATAAATAAAATCATATTAATTTATATATGGTAGCCATGTTTTTATTTAAACATTTTAGTTATTAGAAATACATTTGATATCACTGGTTAGCCTGGTTTGCGTGTATTTTAACAGAAAATATGAATAAAACCCTTGTTTGATTATAGATGAGGTATATCTACCAACCCTGGCTGTGTCCAGCAGCTGTAGAAGTTCATCTCTGCTTGATGGATTCAGTGAAACTGACACCCAGGTCAGATGACCGAGGAACTAAGGCAAAAGGTTAAACATTGAGTAATTAGACAAGGGTCTGTTATGGTATTACTCTTGTTTCTGTTTTTTTGACAGTTTCTACCTTTACTTCCTTCTCCACATAATCAAAGATGAGTCTCTCGGGGTGGATGAGGTAATCCGGTGGGTAGAGGGGGACGGTGTGGAGAGGCCGGCGGTAAACACTCCCTCGATCAACAGGTCTACGACCAGATTTGGACCAAACCAACCGCTTTATGGGTGAAACAAAAGCCTGGAAGAATCACAGAGAACCCCTTGGATAGTCTGGCATAACATTTGGTCCTCTGTCAACAAGTCCTTACTCCAAGGAAAGGTTGAGACCTGATGAAATGAATTTAAATGCACAAATTGATGTTGACATTAACCTAAAACTGGATCACCAATCTGACAATATGATCTGAGTTTTGAACCTGATTCTTTGCAGCATGATTTTAATTCGATTGACTTTTTGAATGACTTGGGGTGACATTTGTTGTGATTTGGCATTAAGTAAATTAAACGAATTAAATTAAATTCACTTGCATTAAATAAAGCTGTCTACAGTTTAATCCAGAGAACACTAGAGACTGATGTGTCTAAATTCACCTAGTGGCAAATATTAACAGTATTTTAAACTGTGTGTTTGAGCTGTTTTAGGTGCCAAAGAAACAGGGACTATCTAAGCTATTCTGTGAGTGTCCAAAACACTGTAGATAAAATAAAGGTGCCCTGTTTTATTTAATTAATTTAAGAAGCGCAGCTTATTGGCATCAAAGTGGCTTCTGATGTAAAACAGGAAAGAATAAACATGGTAAGTCTCGGTCGAGACTTCAGTTAAGGGTGATTTTGACAATTCTAATGATCTTTATTGACTACAAGATTGTTTCTGTTACTGAAAACTTGATGTTTTTTTTTTAATGGAATTTCAGCAATAAACAGATTTACTGCTTTAAAACATACATTTCTGTTTGGATGTTAAAATAGGCTGAAGTCATCTGATCTTGATAAGACAAAAATGGCGAAGGAAATCAGTTTGTCTACCTTCCTGGGTTTCTTCGGTTCATAGTCCATTTCAGTAGGTCAGAAAGTCCTGATCCTGGTCCCAGTTTTCACTCTGCTGGTGTTTAGAGATTGTAGATCCTCTTGCTCAGTTGTTCTGCTTGTTTCTGCCACTCTGTTCCTATAGGTTTATGTAGAGTTACATTCTAATCCTTTCTGTTTCTACACTGATTGTCTAAACTGCGGAGACCTCTCCTGGGGCAGAAACACACAAACAAGCCGGGCATGAGGAGAGAGCAGGAAACAGAGGAAGTTCGCTTCCTGTCCATGAGGAAACTCCACCAACAACTGATAGCATCCATTTTCTCTTCTCTGATAAAACACAAAAATTCTGCAGCTCAAAGTGGATCTTTTTATTTTATTAGTTATTTTTTGTTGTTACAGATGTCATACTCTGATAAATCTAACACACGTTATCATGCATAGCCTAAGCTATTTTCGATGCCAATGCCTTGATGAGCTTTTAGTTACATACAAATCCTTCATGCAAGCTTTGACCTGAAGAGAACTACAGCAAAAAAGACCAACAAACCCAATGAGGATGAAGCTCTCCAGACCATTTTGTAACCAAAAGGCCTTTACAAGAAACTTGGTCAAAGTAAAAGCCATTACTTAGCTTATATTGAAAAAACATAAAATCCTCTCTGAAGAGGGTTTAGAGGAAAAACTTCTATATTTTATATAAATAATAGGTTTCCAGTATGAATGCTTATACTCATTCAATATGCTTGGAAGAAAGTTTTGCCCCTCGGCTTTTGAAAATACTGTTGTATACAGTCTTGACTGCATGAAGGGCATGCACCGGTTTGTGTCATGCCACATTCAGACCTATATATGTTTTCTCTCCCTTTAGAGAAGAAGACAGTTCATATTGACATACCTCTCTAGTCAGCAGGTGTCAGGAAACAACATATTCTTCAAATAACTGAAAACAATCTCTGAGGTTACCTGAAAGTGTTTTTTTTTTTGTGTTTCCCAAATCAACTTTCCATTCCCAGTTTCTTGGAACACTAAATTTCCATTTTTAGTTTGTATCATAAAATTTGATTTTCTTGCTTAGCACATGGCTTCCTGGCCTTATCATCTTCTAAATATATATCCTGCAACTCAATCACTGCATGCAATCAGCTGGTTTTCTTTAGATATATACTTTTTACCAGTCTGACTGTATGATCTGATTGAACTGTCTCTTAAAATGTGATGAAATTTGTTGCGAATGGGTGCTTAATTTGAACTGAAAATAGCAGACCATCTCCCACATGCTATCTTAATAAAAACGTGTTATTCCTCTTCTGATGATTGTTTTATATTTGTACCCTGCAAGCATCTCTCCTATGGCTTTTGCCTTCCACTTTGCCTTGACCACACCCAAGGAAAGAATCCCAGAGCTTTCAAAATGGCCTCCCCCCTTGTGTGTTTTTAACTAGACTCTCGTAACGAGTCAAAATGAAATCTGTATTGCTACACTCTTCAAGAACTCTATCTTCTTGCATCAGATTAGCAAAGCCAGGGAGTCTTGCAGTCTCTCGCAGGGCTAACTGTGCGATAGATCCAGCTGGTCTGTCACCTTTGTTAACTTGTGCAGCGGCAGCTTGTCCTATTTCTCTAGAAAGATTTTCTCACCAGAGCAAATCTTTCAAGGTGCATTTTGCATTCTTCTTTCTCTGTAGAAAGGTACAGCAAAAATACTCAGGAGAAGGATATTTAGCATTTGATCAAACTTGACTGATGTAAAATAGCCTATACATAACAGAGTTAAAGTTTAATGAAACGAAATAGATGGACTGAAATGACTACAATGTGATTAAATATAAACAGAACCAGGAGGATTTTATATTGTACCTGCATATGATTGTGGGTAGTGCTCTTGCTGGTAAAGCACCCTCCACAATGAATTAAATTAATGGTTGTTATGGTGACTTTAAGGATGACACTCTTTGTTGCAGTTCTCTAACATGGAGCTTTAGAGATTCAGTTTTTTTTTTTTCATTTTCTTCTCTCCATTCACTTTCTCCTTACTGTGAGTGGTGTCATTTCTTTTTCAGGCTTGTTTGTCACAGTTCCCAAAAACTAAAGAAACTGATGAATAATTGCTTAAATTGCAATTAGGTGCTAGTTAAGGACATTGGCTATATTCACACTAAAAAAAGATTAAGCTACCAAGTTCTCTGGTGTTAATAGAAATTGGAGTCTCAGTCAGGTTAGATTTTTGGTCTGGGGAAAGTGGAAATCATGGACAAGTAACTGTACTAAGATAATAATAATAATACAAAAAAATCCACTTATATTTGTTTTACAGGAATTGCTAAAGCTGCAAAAAGTATATTTTAAAGGTATAGAGGACAACCTTTTATTTCCGGGTGGATCATCTTAATAAGTGGTCCTCCTAATTGTCAATCACTCTGCTGGCATGTTTACGTGAGGCCATTCTACGTGTTTCTCCCCAGTTAGCTATCTTTCTTTCTGCATGCAAACTTTCAGGCGTATATGTGTGAGCTACGGTTTCAGGCAGTTATTGAAGCTCACCTTTCTCACTGGGGATATTTGAAAGTGTCTACAAAGTGAATCAGAAGAAAAGAAAGGCCTCAGAAGAGGCAGATATACCCCGGAATGATTTGCGCGGAGAGCTCTCCTCACAAAGCTTTATGGGATTTGCTGTCACAGTGGCCTGTTGTTGCCATAGACTGTCGCTACCCAACAGCGGCGACTAATAACAAAGATGGCACAGGCACCACGCGATGGAGGAGGAGTTACATGGCCAATGGGGAGCAAAAAATAGTGATCATCTGTCTGAATGGTCAGTTATCTGAATTCACTACAAAATCCACTATATAGTCCCTATTCTATATAGTGATTGAGGGATTTAGGAGTTAGGGTGGACATAAAGACACAGTAAGCTTGTATGAAGTATGAGAACAGCAACTTTTAAACAGAATGCCTATTAAACATGTGCGAGAGCAGAGCGGGTACAGGGTTGTGCCTGAACATTTTTTTTTAAATGGAGAGGGCGGGTCTTTTAAAAAGTTCTTGAAAATCCTCCACAATACCTTTAATAAAACATTTAATTTTGAAAGAATATCAATAGACTAAATGTTGTTTTTCTTTTTTTCTAATGCAATAAGACTATTGCAACAGAAACATTATTCATTGTAATGCTCTTGAGTATTAGTGTAAGAAATTAGGAAGAGAAATAAACATTTCAACAGAGCTGGACCATTTTAAACCTCATGGAAATCATATCAGTCTGCAGTTGCAGTTAACATGTTTGACCTAAAGAGGGCAGCGCAGTGTTAATGGTTGATTAATTGAGAAGCCTGTGGGGAAAAGGAAAGGAGATAACATTTCTCTTCTTTGTGACAGTGATGGAGCCAAATGAGCCTTACAAAAAACAGCATCAGATACAAATAAATTCAAGTGAATCATATCCATGTGCACAGCTAATGTCAAGGCAACCTCTCCTTTAATATCTGGTGCGCCAGTTGCTTGATGATAACCTGGTTACCAAGGCAACTAGAAGCTGAGATGGGACATTTATCTTCTCAGCTTTCCGTTGTTTTTGTTTTCTTTTTTTTTTTTTTTGGTAATATTTGTTTTAATCTTCGTCTGTCTTTGCAACCCCAATAAGACGCATGTCTGTTTAAAATATAATATCGGGCTCTCAGTTTACTGGTCCATTCATATTCCAGCCCTGATCTTTGGTCATGAGTTTCAGATCATGGGTTACATAAAGAAAAAGAACCTTTCAGCCTTGTGCATCTGTGAATAAATGCTGCTCACTGAAGGACACAGAGAGAAAGTTTCTCTGAAAAAAACATTAAGAAGTTCAGACTGATTAATAGTACATAGTCAGGAATGAAAAATAGATTCTCTGAAGGTTCCTTTTACCAGAACCACATTGGAACTCAGCAACAATCAAGATTCTCTAGTCAAGACACAATCTATAGACTGGCATTGGTATGATTTCATGCCTCTCCCTGTTGGCCTATGTCCTTTGATATTAGCTCTTCTCACTGGAAATGAACTTGAAAACTTTTCCAATGTATCTTTTGAACTCATATCCCCAAAATCTAACCCCGGAATTTTGAAAATGAGTGGATAAATATAAGTTTTCAGACTCTGGGCTGTTGGCAGTTAGGTGCCCTGACAACATATGTAATTTATTCATGAAATTAGAAAAGCTGCTAAAATATCCACCGGTAGATGGCTTATAGACATACCAGCTTTGTGACAAACTGAACAGTCAGTAACCTTTACTCAAATTACTTTATTGATCCAAAAAACAAAGCAAAACAAACAAATAGACCAAGGAGACGTTTACTTCTACTTAACAAACTCAAAGAACAGCATGCCAGGCTCTCGCCTCCTTAGAACTGGGGTCATTGGTCTCTAGCAAAGACTACTTTACTTTTTGTTAAATTTTTTTCCACTGGAAATTAAAAATAGCCCACTCAGGTGTATAAATCTCTAAACTATAGAAATAAAATTTGTATTTATGTTATTTAGTACTTATTGGTTAGGTTTGATCTTATAGCTTTAGTATTCAGATAATGTGCAATATACAGTATAAATGTTCTGTGATGTTTAATTCTGCAAAGCAAGAAGTAGGTTAATAATTTGATGTATAACAAAAATCAAAATGTATATATATGTATATGTTTTCCTGGAAATGAACTTGAAAAGTTTTTCATTCTATCTTTTGAACTCATATCCTCAAAACCTAACCCCAGAATTTGGAGAATGGGCCAATCCAGGGATGAATATAGGTTTTCAGACTCTGGACTGTTGGCAGTTAGGTGCCCTGGTTACAAATGTCATTTATTCATGATATTAGAGAGAAAATATCCACTGGTAGATGGTTTAAAGACATACCCATATTGTGACAAAGTGAACAGTAATCTTTAGTCAAATTACTTTATCGTTGAAAAGAAAACAAAGCAAAACAAATAAATAGACCACGGAGACGTTGACTTCTACTTTACAAACTCAAAGAACATCATGCCAGGCTCTCGCCTCCTTAAAACTGGGATTATTGGTCTCTAGAGAAGACTACTTTGCTTTTTTGTTCAATTTTTTTTCACTGGAAATAACAAATAGCCTGCTAGGGCGTACAGATCTCCAAACTATAGAAATAAAATTTGTATTTATGTTATTTGGTTAGGTTTCATCTTATACATTTTGTATTCAGATAATGTGCAATAAACAGTGTAAATGTTCTGTGATGTTTAATTCTGCAAAGCAAAAAGTAGGTTTACAGTGTGGTGCATAACACAAAAACAAATTTATATATATGTATATGTTTTTCAATAATAAAATATCTAAATTTAGTGACTAAAAATCAAATATTTCAATTGTAAGTAAAACAGAGATAAAATAATGAATTAGCTTTACCGCTGATATATCAAAGAAGACACAGACACAGGCTTGTTGAGTTTATTCTGATGGCTCTTGAGCCATGTTTACTACAGTATTTTTCCCACCTACAGTAATCAGCACAGTTTGTGAACTCCTTTTTTTTTTCTCCTTTTTTTTAACATCGTCATAGATAATTTTCACCACAGGTTTATTTTCTGCTTGCTCACTCAAAGGATGTTTAAGCGGCATTATCAAAAACAAAGAAGAAGAGGAAACTGAGAGCACATCCTTACGGTACACACATACTTTACATACACAACATACTTACATACCAAAGCACACATACTTGTACACGCACATCCTAGAATAGCATCACTCTGATATTTACAGAAATATAGAATGAGTAAAAAAACCAAACTCTATTTTCATATTGTACATCTTAATAAAAGTCATACTAAAGACATGGCCACCAAGTGAGTCGACAATAGATAAATAGATATAAAACAAATACAAAAATAAATCAACATAAAATCCTTGCATTAATCAATAAAAGATGATTTGAGTTTTTGAACCCGTTAACATTTAAACATGTTTTTGTTCAAGTCAGCAAATAATCAGCACATTACTATCAACTGTTTTCTTAGCTTAACAACAAAAAACTGTTGCATTACCCAATCAGAGAAAGCAAAGCGTACCTTGGCTTGTGACTGGGTGGTTTATGTATGCATCAGCCGTACATTAGCCTATCAAGTTAAACATGTCATGAATATTTGTAACAAAAACTCGTTTTTCAGCACCATTAACATCTCTGTGTATGTCACCAGTGGACGAAGGTCCAGGAGTTCAGGTAGGACACTCTCTGCCACGTTCTAAGTAGCTGTTTTTACTTTTATTTGCCTTTGTGAAGGTTTTGCACATTTCGTTTGATCGGAGGACACACAAAAGGAAGTGTTACTAGACCCTCCCCACTTATTGGCACCTCTGGTAGAGATGTATTAAACGTGTTTTATTGCAGCGAGCTAATGTCCCACTGAAACAAAACCCTACATTTAATGTGAGAACATTTATTCAATGAGGGGAAATTTTACACCGACACAAATAAAATTTAAAAAGGGATTTTTTTTTCTGATATCATAACGGCAGTACTTACTGACACCTGTAAAATCCCTAACGATACTTTTGAAGTTAATAAATGTGTCTAAGAAGCATCAAATCTTCATAACTAGCAACAGACCTTATCTATATGGTTACTGGTTGTTTGGGGATCATGTCGGGGAAAATGATATTTCTATCCCACAACAACAACAACTGTAAATATCTTGAATGACGGGTACCCTGTTTTAAAGTGAAATAGGAATAGAATTAAACATTTTCGGGGTAGGTAATACATAAAAAGGATGAATATGAGGAAAATCCTTTCATACTTAACATTACATATTTTAGAGGACCTGTAATGCTGTGTGCTTATTCCTCTTTAAAAGATCCTTACAAGTGTTTGACGTTAATGAAGGAAGAGAACGAAATACTGGATCCAGGAAGAATTAGAGAGATTGACAAAGTAGAATAGTCGAAAATCCTTCTTTGTCGCATTCTGAAATGTTAAAGAAGAAGTCTAGTCCAGCCATCTAGAATAAAATTAAGCCTCTTCAATAAAATGTTAAGACGTTTTTACACTTCTTTGTTGTATAGCCAATAAGTGTGGAGGGCATTGCACATGTTAGAATCTGAGCCCCTCTATCCTGATTTTTAATATCACAGATTTCTGAGTAGCATAGGTTTTCTTTACGTTCCACTAAATACTTTACAGCAAACTGTGGGACACATTAGGAAACAGCAGAGCGTGCAGCAGCAAATGGCAAATTCAACAGACAATACAAACAGCATGGAGAAACTCTGGGAGCATGTCCTTAATAGGATGCTGCTAAGGTGGCAGCCAGTGGTGGCCCAGGTACCTCTAGTCCCCAAAGGGGGATCTGCCTGTGACAGACGAGGGAGAAGTACATCTATAAAGAGGGCATTATATATTAACAGCAGAAGATGCTCGAAGGTCACATTATACCAGGATATGAGTATCGTTCAACATTAATCAAGCTGTCAAAGCAGAACTGTTGATGCAATGTGGATATAAATGTTTTTGTTAGCCAACACGGCGCAAACAGAAATCATTAAATTTATTGTCTTCTATGATACTGAGAAACAGATCCATGGCCTCAGCCACCGAGGTCCTCGATATCTATACTGAGCTGCAACATTTTGATGTTACAGGAACTAAGCAGGAAAAAAAAACATTTTAGAAGATCCACCTTGCATTAAATGTTACCACTTTACATTAAATCAGTATATTTCTGTAAGTTTTCCAGGAGCAGACAGAAAAGAACCTCCACTTTTATGAAGTCAGATTAACTTAAATACAGTTGAAGTTAAAGGAGAACCTGCTTAGGAGAAAAATTACTTGTTTGATATAAAAGTGAGAAGAGTTGACTATTAGGGAGTTCTTCTTCTCTGGACTGTTGAGCACAATGCAATTTCTTTTAGCGGCATTTTGCCACACCCTGCCGGGTTAATAATGTGCTGCTGCGCTATGGGTTCTGCAAGAAACCCAAATTACTGGAATGAATGTGTACGCTCACATCTGCCTCGATGCAGTGTGGGTGTGGTTATAAAGACTATGCGAATCAACAAAGTGATTCCTCAAAAAGGAAGTTTGACTGGACATTGGCTGGACTCTTGCAGCACCATCCAAGCTACTAAATTTCACAAGCCAAACAGAAAATGTCAAGCGCCAGACAAATAAAGTCCTGGTGAATTTCAGAATAAATTCCACCTATACTAACTTGACTAGTGAAAATAAAAACTGAAAAACTGAAATTATAGGAAACAAGGGAATACGGGATATTTATGAGCATGGGTAACGAATTTTGCTCAGCAGTTGCTGGAAAATGCACTAACCAATGTGAACTTCTTTTCTCTCAGATGCTGTTTCTGCAGCCAGAGGCTGTAGCGGGCCAGCCTGGTCTCAGTGTTCAATTTGAGTGAGTGAATGGCTTTTTGACTGCATTGCAGCTGCACCACCACTGTATTCAGTGTGAACCCAGCATTAGTGCTGCTACCAGACCTTAACCCCTGAAGCTGCCTCCCAGTTTGCTAGAAACATGGGGTCCATACGCTTTTAGCAATCAATGTTTTCTTGCCAAATGCCTGCTACCTTTGGGTATAAGTCAAAACACAATTGTGACAAATCTGCCTGATAGGTCAAGGATCCATTCCTGTCAATCCACCAGCCAACAGAATGAGGCTTATTAATTATGAAAAAATATTAAAAAGTATTGAACAGACATCAACACCCATCAATAAAAGTGTACCCTCCAACACCTGCGCGTTTGCATTGTCCAGGATGAAAAACAACAACAGAAAGTGACATATTGATCCAGTCATTATCCTTCTGTCTTCACTGCTGCCTCCCTTGTTCTTTGCTAAATTACAGGAAAAAAACAACAACAATATTTACTGTTTATTTGCCAACTGCCGTGTGAAAGAAATGCCTGGAATCAAAATGTCAGTCTTGAAACCGTTGTTAATTTAAAACAGTTGGAAATCCAAACTGATTAAACATTGGCTTGTAAGTGGCGTTAAAGTGTACCAGGGTTTCTGTTTTTTAAAGGTTTGGTTTTTAGATTGCTAAAACAATTTTTTCCCCAACAGTTTAAATATCTTTAGTTGAGGTGTCCCAGAATGCAGCGGGGTGTGTTTAGTTATCTCCAACTGTATGAATGAAATGAAAAGCTGCCTCTCCCCTACTTAATGGCGCACTGGCAGAGGAAGATTACATAAAATGGAAATCTAAGTAAGTCATTTTTCTTAAAATAAGTGCATTTTTTTCTTGAATTGAGGAGGAAAGTTAGACACTTTGCCAATGGAACAAGACAATTTACATTTAAAATAAGAAAAAACTACTGCATTGTCTTATTTCAAGTTCATATTATCTAATTATCTTATTTCAAGAGTAAAAATACTAATTTCATTGGCAAATCATCTTATTTACCTACTCAGATTAAGGGTAAATACACCTAATTTATGAAATTTTTACTTATTTCTAGATCGTGTGTACTATAGATTTTTTTCCTTTCTTACAAGAAAAGACATTTTTTTCAAGTCACGATTAACATGCAAGGTAAACTAAAAGTAAGTATTACACATCACTCTTAATGTAAAGCTGTTTTGAAACTGTATTTGGAAAACTCAATAAAATGGCAAATGTAAACTGCTACCTGAGCAAATAATTTAACTAATTAACGAGAAGCTATTAGCTTTTTTAATCTCAGTGTTACTCTGTGAGGAACAGAATGGCAAAAACAATTTAATCCATCCAGCTGTCCAACTGTCCATCATCTTTAAGAGAATAAGGCCCAGAACAAAAAACCCAATTTTCACTTTTGCCAACAACACCAAAGTCATTCTTGCAATCTGAAGCCAGAGTCGATGTGTAATCATGTTTGATTTTCTAGGTTTGCTCCAGGTTCTCCTCCAAGTTGTATGTCTACAGGGGGAGGGGCCCTGAAGGCATCCTGATCAACTGTAACACATCAACTGTAACTGATTCCTTGTGATATTTCCTGTGGATCAGAAAGCGCCTAAACCCATCTCCAAAGGCGAGTCAAGCCTCAGTGCTGATGTAGATTTAGGGGACATGACTCATTTCTTCTCCACTGGCTGCAAACTGCTCACTTGAGTATGAGCTGCAGGTGACTGCTTAAAGAAATAACATTATCTGCAAAAAAAATATTCTCAAACTAGAACACCCTCCATTTCATGAATGCACCTCGAGGTCCATGATATCCCTAGATTCTTTCCCAGTACTAGAAGCAGAACTGGTGGGGTCCAGACTCCAAACTTTTTCTGTGCTAAGTATGCAAATGGATAATTGGTTGTTATAAAAGCCCCACCCATTCCCAATTCTCCTGCAGCACCACACGTGGACCAGAGCACCAATCTCCTGTGACCCATTAAGAAAGGGTAAAGAAAGATAAAATTTCTTTAATGAAAGCAAAGCATTATTTTGCAGAGGAAAGAAAGTTGGGTTTTTATATAAATTCAAAACATTAGAATCAAATTATATTCAGGTATTTTACTCCAGTTATAATGATGTGGCTATCTCATACCAACTCGTGCCTTACGGTGGTAAAGAAGGCTTTTGCAAATTAGAAGGCATCTAGGAAACATTTCTTAATCTAAAAAAAAACAAAAGAAAAAAGAAAAATCCCAAACAAACAAAAACATAAAAATACACACAATCAGTGAAGACATGAGTTCTACGTATGATACCAACACATCCTGTATGTAATACTCTGGTCATCCTTTTTTTTTTCATAAGTAGTTGCAAAATCCTTTAATATAGCAATATTTTTGCCTTGTTACAACATGAAAAGAAATTTATTTGGAGCCTGACAGCGTTTCCTATCTCAGAGCCTTAATTTGGGACCAACAATAAGAGCTGATCATTTTTCCTTTTAATTGGAAACTCTCATAGCCGCTTATCAGTTGGATTGCACTTTTAGCAACTTTGCCAATCTTTCTATAACTTCTTGAGGCAGTGACTTTCTCCACTGACGATACAACCTCTAAGCACCCAGAAGGTTTTTATTTATTCATTTTTTAAAATTACTGCTCATAACCTTCTAAAATCTTAAAACATGGTGGCCTTCAAAATAAACCAAACCTAAAAAAAAAGAAATGATACGGCTGCGGCGGGTATATCCTTACAAAAGACATCAACTATTGCAACTAGTAGTTTGCAAAAACATTTCTGTTGTCTTGGTTTTTGACAGTTTACTTTAAACAGGTGTTATATTTCTTTTTAGTATTTTTTTGCCCTTAAATCAAACCCTTAAAAACCATACTGAAATAGATCATTAATCTTTCATATACTACATATTATGATTTTTAGAAAAAGTGAACCACTTTGGACAACATTTAGACTCTTACGAGTAAATGAAGCTTCCTTACTCACAAAATGCATTCATCACCTAACTACAGCTTATTTTAACATCTTATACAGTATTGGACATCTGCATTTATTCCACTGTACATCACAGACCTGTTTCTGGCGATTTACAGCATGCCATATGTTGGTAGCTATTGGAGAAGCTGCTCACGTACATCCATTTATCAGATCCTCGTTGAGCTTTCCCCACAAGTCCAATGGGTTGGGGTTGACAGTGCAGCTAGGATGTAAACAGCGAGACTTGTGCTATGGCTGCAATTGTGGCACAAATGGATGGGTGAATTGTTATCAGTTGTATTGAAGGCCTACATTTCTTGAACCAATTAAGCTTAAACTGAGCTGCGGTCTTTCCTCAGATGAAAACCGGTGCTCTGCTGGGAATTTGAGAGTGAATGATGAAATGTTTAAAGAGCACATTTATCAAAGATTTGTGAGGCACATGCAATGTTTTGGGGACAAGATGAGATGCAGGGAACAAATCGACCTTTGCAACAAATCAACTCAGACCTTTCTGTGAGTTTTTGCAGGTAATCTCTAAAGCATGCCAAAGTAATTCATTGGTTAATTGGAGGTAAGATGTGTCTGTTTATCTTGGCTAAACCTGTGATGAATTTAGTTGTAGATAATGGCTCAGCATCTTTGAACGTAAAATTACATAGACTGTAGATTTATGTTGGATGCTGTTGCATTTTTCCCAAAACCAAAATGATTGCATGTCCCATGCACACTCTGACAATCTGTTTCTTTAACATTTCGTACATTTCTGTTCTCTCTTTACAGCCTGAGGCTCAAGTTCATGTGGCAGACAGTTTTTTTTTTATTATCTCAAGCTTTATTTCTCTGGTGTCTTTTTACTTGTTGCTCTGACCATCCAGGTTGAAACACTTATTGGTCTCAGGTGTGGGATTAAGTTCCTTGTGATTGAAGTGTTAGAAAATATATTGGAGACCATCCTGGTTCAGCATTACTCCATTTACTCCCCACCAGTGACTCTTGCTAAAAGTTCTTCAACAGCTTTGGTCCCACATTGAGGCTCACATTTCACAATCGCTGTCTGACAACCTCTCTTCTTAAGACGACTTACCAGACACTCTCCCTTTTATCCTACTTCCAGCACAGGTAGTCCTGGGTTGAAGACCGATTCCTGGTGGAGCCTTGGTCCCAGGCTGCACTTTGTAGTTTGAAAGCCCCTATTGGCTTAAACGGTTGTCTCATATTCTAACACTTCTTTGCTGCCCATCAAGCTGCTCCTGTACTGAATCCGTGGACTGATGGCTGATGTGTTTTCTAGCAGAAGGATGGTTTTGCGAAGGCGCCGGTCGATAAAGTGTGCGTCCCAGGCCGGGTATCGCTTTCTTGGGAGGTCGATCCTGATTACAGGACCCTCCTGTGCACGGGATGTAGAGGAGGTCCTGTGAAGAAGAGCAGGAGAGGCGGAAGGGGACGGGCGTACCTGGAAGACGGGCAGGCAGCTCTCCTTGTCTCTGTCCCGTTCCCCAGGAACTGGCTCCCCTGTGTCTTTATCTTTAGTCCTGGGCAAAGTCCGTGGAGGACTGGTAATGACCATATCCGTTTGGGACCCTTGGGATGGAGTTAGGCAAGCGTCAATAACTCCCACCATCCCCCCTGTACCAACAACACCCTCATCAACACATCCTCCCCACTGAGAGCCCAGGACCGGCCCATCTGGGTGTAGCCAGCAGTAGTAAACCAACATAAAGAAGGTTCCCAGGGCAAAGCTGCAGGCCACTAGGCACACCACTACCAGGGCAGATGAGTCGGTAGTTTGGGGGCCACGGTACGTGTACCAGGCAGCCGTCAGTGCCACATTCTCTGCCAGCGTCACCGAGTAATACAAAGCCATGCGGAGGCGACTGGGCCCTTCTTTGACGTTGAACCAGCAAAATATGTAGATGATACCCACAACCATGTTGTAGATAATTTCTTCCCACTTGGACATACAGAAGTCAGTCTCACCCTGGATAATCCAAAAGGTCATCACGCACCTGGAAACAGTAATGGAGGTATGGTTACAGTTAATCATTGAATTGGAAATCAGAAAATCTTGTTGGTTTACAAAACTGACATGACATGTCAACCCTGTTCATAAAAGCTTTTGTTCAAGAAGTTCTAGTCTATGAAGGTTATTCTGACCATTTGGTCATAACTTGATTTTTTGCCAGTTTAGGTAACAGGTGTATAGAGTGGAATCTGAATGTGCAGCACAGGGCGGTAATAAAGAATTAGGTTTAAATGAAGCCACGTAAAAGTCATCTCTGCTTTTCTCGTTATAGTAGCTTTATCTGGTCCTTTTCTGTTTGGCTGAGTCTCCATCCTGGCAAGAAATGTCAGCTGGGCTGCTGCCATCAACACCTTTGATTGTAGATGATAGAGTTGGGCCTGTTTTTTAGTGTTTAGTCCTGTTTTTTCTCTTAGAAAGAGCTAGTGACTAAGCTTTTACTATGACTAACTTTATGTACTCTCTTTCATTCCTTTGACATAAAAACTGGCTCTGAGCTTGCCTGCTTGTCACTTTCTTTCCTAGACAGAGCCACCAATGTGGCTAGTTTGTATTACCTTTAACATAAAAAGTATTTATGGATCAGTGATTCGGTAGTCCTCTCATTATCTGTTTCTCTCTCTCCTGGAACCCCCAGTGGCTCTAGGTAGAACGCCGCTCACATTGAGCCTGGTTCTGCTGGAGTTTTATTCCTGTTAAAAGAGACTTTTTCCTCTTCACTGTTGTTGCATGCATGTTTGGTTTGAGGGTTTTCTGTAGAGTCAACTTTAAAATGGAAGTATATTTCTACAGTTGCCACATGCTTATTCAGGAGGTGCATGTTCTTCAACTCAATGACTCAAATCAATCAGCTGGTTTTCCTTAGACAGAAAACTATTTACCAATCTGACAAGTGCCTTTAGACAGAGCCTTGTATAAAATGTACATCTATGCATAGGAAGAAAAAAAAAATGTCATGCCAGTATCATAAAGTTAGAGCATGAATGAAATTTATTTATATTTTCTTACTTATTAACTCTACATCTTAGAAAAATAGATAAAAAAAAAAATCAAGTTAACAATATTTTTGTTAGCAATGAGGCAAAACTTCTTACTTGGGCCAATTTACAGCTGTTACCGTAATCTGTGAGCGCAGCGCGCACTAGTTGAGGGCGTGAAGCAATGTTCTTTTCTGCCTCTGATATAATAAACGGCCATTAAAAGCAGTTATCAGTCCCATAGAATGGGGGCTGCGTCTCCTCTATCTTCTAATATATATTTTTTTGGCTAATAACATGTAGCTTATCATTGATAACAGCCCCTTTGGCCATATCTAAAACCATAAGTTTGACTTTCGATTTACATACTAACAACAGCCATTTAATTAGATGATAACATCCGAAGCGGCTGAAACGGCTTTGGATACACTTTGTGATCATGGGTGGGGTTGCACTTCCTTATTTACGGTTTTAAATGGGGATAATTGCGGGTAATGGGTATGGTCCTGAACTGTTGTGTTGGGCATTTTTTTAATCTACATTTGTAAAGCTGTTAAACATGTTCACAGGGAATACGACAACCTTGCGTTGGTCGCCCGACATTTCAGCCATATAAACCCTATAAACATTTAATAAGTAAGTTTAACTATTCAGAATTACCATCAGAGATATCTGTAAAGTCATTGAGACTAGTCAAAACTGCAGTTTCAAAAATATTTAATTCACTTTTCATTAGGCAAAATGGTGTTGCAAATATAAGTAATTATTATCCAGTTTAGGAATTAGATCTTAAAACATATACCAAAGCCTCTATTCGCTTACCGGTTCCTGTTGTCTGTTCAGCTCATCATGGTGAGTCACAACACTGCATGTGATGTGTGAAGCCAAACTGTTTCAGTGGCTGGATAATTGCTACCAGCAGTACTTAAGTCTTTCCAGAACCCAGTATCAGGAGCTGCTCTCCTGCTTGAGGAGGATTGATCGACCGGGTCTGGGTCGACGCCAAAACCACATCCAGTCCCTGATTGTTTAACGCAACGCAAATTATCAGAGAAGTTCAGATCTTTCAACTAAAAGGAAATGTCCGTTTGCTCCTCTGTGTCTCCACCAGTGATGGGACTAACGGCGTTGAAAGTAGCGGCGTTACTAACGCCGTTACCTTGTTTTAGTAACGAGTAATCTAACTAATTACTTTGACTGTAACTATAACGCAGTTACCATTGCAGACACCCCGCTACTGCGCGTTACTCAGGTCGCACAATGAGCCTTTTTTCATGATAAGACTCGTGCGCAGCTGCGTGAAGCTGACACCCCACCCACGTCAAAAAGAACTCTGCAAATAGACTGAATGGTTAGTGCAACGTTAGTGAAGATTTGTGCAGAAAAAAATATTGTTTGTGCTACTTTTGTTTAAGAGATATTAAAGATTATTTTTAGGTCATCCAGAGGTGCGCGCCTTGTCATGAGAGAGGGGAGGATGAGAATGGCTGATGTATAGTGAGATTCCGTCTGTCAGTTGGGTAGGTGGGTGTTTCTGCTGGTGGGTGTTAACGTACAGCACACACAGAGAGATGGAGAGTGAGGATGACTCCGGCAGCAAAACAGCGTTTTCCTGATAGAAATACCGGTGTTACGTCGAGCTGCGTTTCCCCATACGGTTTCCCCTGCATCTCCGCACAGCGCAGGCGGCACGATTCACCGCACACGCGACAGGAAACGCGCATGCTTGCTAAAGGCGCGCAACAGTCGCCCTGTGCTCGCGCCACAGGAGAACTATGGAGAGCTGAACGATCAAATGATAGCCTATATGGAGAAAGAGAGAAATCTGGATGGATGGATGGATGGATACTCTGCCTTCTCAACCTACTGTATTTTTTATTTTAAACATTATTTGATGGCCTTTGTGGCAGGGATGGAGATCCATATTTTATGTCACACACAGAGTATAGATAGATAGATAGATAGATAGATAGATAGATAGATAGATAGATAGATAGATAAATGTTGCAGTACACAGGATTTCAGAATTAGACATCCCCAGTTATTAATTTCATATACTCACCAGTTGCAATAAATGCAAAACTCTCTGCAGGTTCTTGTCTTTGTCGTTCGCTCTATTCAGCTGGCTTTGGAAACACACGGCGAGAAGGTGGGGGCTGGGTGGTGAGGGTTACGGGGGCGAGAAACGCAAAAGTAACGCAATAGTTACTTTTACTAGTAACTAGTTACTTTTATTGTGGAGTAACTCAGTTAGTAACTCAGTTACTTTTTGGGAGAAGTAACTAGTAACTATAACTAATTACTTTTTCAAAGTAACGTGCCCAACACTGGTCTCCACATAGACACTTCCTTTGCATCACTGTTCGGTCACTCTTGAACGCGCCTCTACGTAGGGATTACATGGAAGTCACTTTATTCTCTCCAATCCAAATAATTATGAATGCAACATTAGAGGTATGACTACTTCTAAAAAATGACTGGGGCTCTTTTAATACGCATTTATGTGCATGGCTGCAATGTTCTTTTCTACAGATTTATTTTCCTGTTTTACATCACAAACACAAGTGCTGATGATTTTCTCAAGGTGAGCGTGCCAGTATGAATGAAAATCTTTGGACTTTGATAAAAAGTTACGCACCAGTGACTGACGATGAAGATGCCAAAGTAGAGCTGGAAGACAGAGGCAAAGAGAGCGAAAGCCACAGTCCTGGCTCCAATGGTGAAGAAGTGCCACAGCATCTGGGCAATCACAGCCTTGTAGGACATGGGCAGCTTGTCGTCGCGGGAGTCCCGAAGAACCTTCTGGTAGGAAGCGATCATCCAGGCCAGCGAAACCAGCGATGCTGAAGCTGAGAGACCTGGTGAAACAGGAAAAGTGTGTTGAAAAAGGTGGGTTACAGCAAAATGATATTTTGATGTGTGGAATTCTTGTTATTATCTTATGCGGTTTATGTAAATATAAGGACAAGGAAACACAGAAACTGGATAAGCTGTTTCAAGTTTTAACCTGGTAGGTAACACTATAAGCACATTGTAACTTTTAAACCACATTTGATCTTTTAAAAGTTAATCAGTTAGGACTTTACCACTTCGTACAAAGTTAAAATAATCTTCATTTCAGTTTGAATTTAATTTAGATTATTTTGCAGCACCAATTCATCATCTCGATAAAATAGAGACAGAAACTTAGAGGACTGCATCATGGACTTCTAGTATTTACTCTTCCTGGTTGAGGGTCACTTGTTGCATTGTGTTGTTGAGCCTGTACCAAGGATGCATGCAGGAACAGTTGAGAGCAGTCGGTCACAGAGCTTTGAGCTGCCCAGAGCACCGTTTAACACATTAAACATTCATATGTGTTAATAAAGTTGCCTCATCTAAAATTAGGAGCAAACCAAACTGAGAGAGCAACAAATTAAACAAGAAGCATCTCCTTTAATTCACTTTGCTTTTGAATGTTTCTTTTTATATCCATGTTTTTCAAATAATGTTTTTTAGGTGATTTTTCTCTAGCTGAAATAGATTTTTTCTGGCCATTTTTAGGGAGTCTCTTCTGTTGCAGTTTTAGGTTGACAGTAAGATATTTCTTTTTTAAAATGGTTCAAGAAAGAATCTTAAAACCTAAAAAATCTAAAGTTACAGGTAAAAATTATTCTTGATCATTCTTGTTTAACAGAAGCCTGTAGAATCTCAGGTGGAACTAATGCTTGTTTTTATTACGATTATGTTTTATTTTCTGAGCTTTTCACAGTCTAACGGTGAAATGGGGACATTTTCCAAACCCCAAGAGTCTAGGAAAGGAAGTGTTTCTCACTAATGCCTAATTCTTCACTAAAGGATGATGGATCCATAATAGTTTCAAATGTCCCTAAAACTCATCATCAATTATGTAAACATCAGAGGAGCAATCTACCAAATCTCCAGATTTTATGAAGAATAATTACAAATCCATTTGGTTTAGATTTTGCACATCTGCTCTGCATCTTTGCTTTATTGGTTTAAAGAAAAGTTTTCTGAAACTATACCTTTTGGACTATACCAAATTTATATACTAACTCATTTGCACTTCACTATTTATTCATGTATTTCTTTATAGACAAAAGCAGTAGAAGATGGAGGTATGGATTTATCAAAAATGTAATTTACTTATCTTATATCTTAATAACTTTATTTTAGACAAATAGCAAATTACAACATGTAAATACACAAATATTATGTATAATTAATGATATATATAATTAGACTATATGTATAAATTAGTGCGTCTGAAATGGGATAAAACGAAGGTAAGGCATGTTTATTTTCATAGCACATTTCAGCAGCAAGATAGTTTAAAGTGCTGTAGATGATAAAAAAGAAAAAGAGAAGTACATTGCAGTTGCATTAATGCTACACAAATGAATAAAGAGAATAAAAGTGAATAATTGAAATAAGACTATTATCTTAAAAACAAAATTAAAGTGAATGAAGAAGTGAAATTTATTTAATCATCCATCCATCCATCCATCCATCCATCCATCCATCCATCCATCCATCCATCCATCCATCCATCCATCCATCCATCCATCCATCCATCCATCCATCCATCCATCCATCCATCCATCCATCCATCCATCTCTATTGGGTAATTTTTTGGTGATCTAGGAATTTATATTTTAATTCATTGTTTGAGCTGGACGAAAAATGCACAGGAGAGGAAGAAACAATAAAGACTACAACGATCAATAAAAGAAACTGAATCCTAGGAGAGAAAAGAACAACACACAGCCAGAGATATTGTATTAGCATTGTTGGAGCGAGGATCTGAGTAGAATTTAAATGATCAGCTCTGCCATATATTTATGTGGAATCTCAAGAAATTATTGATATAATTCAGCTTTTCACACTAGAAACTCTGTCCAAAAGCAATCAGACATTTGTAGGCTACAGCTCTCTTTTTGGGCTATAGATATTCACCACCTTGATGATGGGGACTTAATCGCCTTCCTCACACACTGTGTTTATTGCTGTATCAGTTTAGAACATGATTCATTGTTTGTTTTCCTGTTCCCCCCATCATATTATGATGAGTCATCATTAATGAACAGGTGAGCTAAATTGATATCAGAGCAGGAGATAATGTTCGGTTCAGTGTTTGTGACTGTATTTGTATTGCACACAAGAGGTGAGGAAGTTAATGACCTGTGTTGCAACAAAGGAACATGAATTTAGGCTTTTTTGCCTTTAGATATGTCTGTTGACTGTAAATCCGTAAATGTGTGATTATTTAATCCCAGGAGGCCTTTATTGTAAATAATAAGAGCAAAAACGTCCAGTTACCGAATCATCTCTACCACTTGTCCATCTTTTGCAGACACTAATGAGACCACCATTTCCACATTGACAATAAAAGAAATACCAGGAAATGTAGTTTTGATAAAATCAATAAATTATGTACAATTTATCAATGTACATGTGTCAATGTCATTGTAATTCATTTTTATAATTGTATCATCAATTGTGTTTTTACATTAGATTGAACTTTAAAAGATTACTAATGTGGTTCCATCACCAGGAGCTGCAGACATGGTGACCATTCGAAAAACAGTAACGCTACTGTAAGTTCTATCTCAGCAGGACTACGGTTGTTTCGGATCTCCTCCACAGACATCAGGAGAGCATTATGCAGAGCTCTGCTTTGCAGCGTTAACAGAGGGACCAAAGTGCACTTTGAGTCACTGTCAGAGCACATTTACTGCCTTTCCTGGGTAAACACATAGAGCTGATTTACCGTCAGCCAGGCATGTCACTATCCATGCAAAACTGTTATGGTTGGTGGACGCAGGTTTTATTTTTAGGGTGTGAGGATGTAGAATACTCTAATAGTCATAAAGATGCATGAAAAACAAAACAGTCGATGAAGGAAACAGTTTTGTTTCTGTAATATTTCATGCAGTTATGACTTTTTGGGAAAACAATCCTTTTTGTTAACCACCACAATGTCTGCGGCAGACCAAAACTAAAGCTTTTGCAACAGTAAAGGTTGATTTTGCTTTTCGTGTTTGACAGATCACCAGAGCCTTTCTTCAGCAAAGCTACAAACTCCACTGTGGGGCTAAATTCCCTTCTTCTTGTTGGTTTTATATATAAGACGCTGCTAAAAAAAGTAGTACATTCAAAAAAGTACATTCAAAAACAATACTTCTTCAATCAACTTCAATCAAATCAAACTCCTGTGAAATCAAACGGTCCACTTAGGAAGCAACACTGATTTATAAACAATTTCACATTCAGTTATTTGCAATTAGCAAGACACACTCAATAAAGGAGTCATTCAGCAGGTGTGGAGGAGGCTGTAGGAGGTCCACAACCCAGAAGCAGGTCTGCTGCCTCGGCCTTTGTGCAAGGAGGAACAGGAGGAGCACTGCCAGAGCCCTGCAACATATCCTACAGCAGGCCACCAATCTGCATGTGTGTGTACAAACGCTCAGAGGATAGTCCAACATCTACAGATGGGGGTTGTGCTCACAGCCCAACAGCGTGCAGGACGCTTGGCATTTGTCAGAGAACACCAGGACTGGCAAACTGGTGGCTTGTGCTGTTCATAGATGAAAGCTGGTTCACACTGAGAACATTTGACTGACGTGCAAGAGTCTGGAGACACTGTTGAGAGCGATCTGCTGCCTGCAACATCCTTCAGCTTGACCAGTTTGGCAGTGGGTCAATAATGGCGTGAGGTGGCATTTCTTTGAAGGGCTACACAGCCCTCCATTTAGTCCTCAGAGGTAGCAGGACTCCCATTAGATACCGAGATGAGATCCTCAGACCCCTTGTGAGACCATATGCTGGAGTGGTTGTCCCTGGGTTCCTCCGAATGCCTAGTGTACTTTTCCACTTTAATTTTGTGTGTGACTTCAAATCAAAGTCTTTGTTGGTAAATAAATTGATGAATAAAAACCATGTTGTCTCAAACATTATTTCAAAAGTTTTGAAAATGATTTTAACAGCCAATTATTTTCTCAGAATTAGTAGTCAATTTAATGGTTTGAATCCTAATAACCCTATTGTAGATAGAATATATGTTTTTTGTTGTTGTTTATTTAAGCACTAGTGGCTCGTTTTTTGGACAGTAACGGGGGTATGAGAGAGGGGGAGAGACATGCAGCAAAGGACCACAGGTCGGATGCAAGCATGGGTCGGCCGCGTCAAGGACTAAGGCCTCAGTACATGGGTCGTGCGCACTAAACACTGCGCCACCTGCACGCCCCAGAAGTATGTTTTTACTGATGCATACGGAATGTGAGCTGCAGTTTTTGCTGGTTAATCATTGCACTATTTTCTAGGTTATACCAGTTCCCTGTCTGTGTTACAGGAAAGCTTTAGGTACCGGTATACAACCGTATGTCCAAGAATTACACTTTAATATGTCTGTGTGCACATGAATGTGTTTGTGCATGTCTCTGTTTATCTGCTTGCATTTTTGTAGGTTTTATGTGTACCTGCTCTGATTTGAGTGCCTTTCTTCTGCTGCCGCCAGGTGTGTGAGTGTGAAGCCAGAGATGGGAGTGTTGTTTTGTTTTATTCATCAAAGACCAATCTGGCTCTTGTAAGACCGGCATGAATAAGGCATGCTCTGCTACCGATACCTGCCTTCTGCACGAGCATACGCATACAAGATACCAAGATTATATATAGAAACGTGATGTTATGGACTGCACATCATGGGGAAGGCTGCTGACTCGACAGATGTCCAGCAGACTGTCACTGGTGACCTCCAGCAAGAGGGTAAACAACTATAGAATATTGTTGAAGAAGCTTGTTGTTCACAAGCTGTTTAATGTCAGAAAAATCTAAGTGGAGGGAAGATGTTTGGTTAAAAAAGGCAAACATCATAATAACTACAACACTGAAGATTAGTAAAACAAAATCCATCAGAGGGATGTTTCCGGTTAGTGATAATATGTTGGTGTTAGTCCATCATGTTTGATAAAGTCCACAGCTATCAGACTTACCTGTCCTAAATCCCACGGACAATCTACAGCTGTTGTCTAGAGGAAGATGAAAGACCAACAATGAGCTGAAGGATGATATGAAGGCAACTTCAACAGCAATGGGCTCTCTTCCACACCACAGGGCACTGATGCAGTAAACTGTTCAGCAGGCCACCATTTCAGTACAAAAACTCTCTTTTTATTCTGTTTATGGATTGTTCCACTTTTCAGAGAATTTAATTGTGCTGATTTTAAAGCTACAGTGTGTAATTTTCAGCGACATCTAGCGGTCAGACTGCAGACTGCAGCAACATGAATGTCTCCCCCCCACCGCTTCTCCCCCCCAACAGTACGGCGAGCGTTACGGGACAAAATGTCTTCCACGACGTCCGCATCACCTACCTTCTCAAGTGATGAGGTTTGTTTACATAGATAATTTTACAGATAGTATTTCATTAGTCTGTGTAGGGTATAGATTTCATGTAGACTTAAGATAATAAATATACCCGTTATTTTTTCTACGTCGTTGTGACGTTTTGGTGAGCTGCTTTGCATGGTGATATTAACAGACGAAGTAATTGTAGTCATTAGTTTAACAGCGAGATTGTGTTCGCTGGAAGAATATATATTCCCCGTTTACAGAGTCCAAGTCTTGTTTGTGGCACGGGGGTTACAAGGCAAGGAAGAGGGAAAGGAAGAGGGCAGAGAGGCCGGGGTGAGCGTGCAGCTGGGGCCAGGCGAGAGAGGGGAGCCAGCGGGGTGAGAGCAGAGGAGGAAAGGCTTGAAGATCTCCAAAGGAGCCGGAGAGAAGTAACCGAGGTATATATCCAGAAAATTATTTTACAGAAAATTACTGAATCATTACCTGTGAAATGTCAGGGACGTTGCTGAATAAGTATACTGGAGAGTAACAGCATCATCACGCAGCATGTTATTGTTTTAGACAGGTCTGAGCATCCTGTACTCCAAAAACTGCAGTGATATTAGACAATTGTGTGTATAGGATTTATTACCTGTCCAAGAGAAAACTGGCAACTTGAGCGTCACTTTGAAAACCTTTTTCCTCCATCAGTGACTTCCATCGTGTAAATGCCGTGCCAATGTTGATCCGTGTTTTTTGTCGTTTCTTGTCACTCTTGCGTTTATTCTCGTCGTGTTTCCGCTTCTTAGATGACGGGGGTTCGGTGTCCGCCGCTTTTCGTTGTGATACACAGTAGGCATGATCCTCCATTCGTCTGATGTTTGGCCACACAGTGCCAAACAGTTTGCAAAGTCACTCACGCCTGCCGCCTTGTTCACCTTTCTTGTTACTGAGGCGCAGTATACCTGCTTCTTCTTCTTCTTTGGTTTCAGGCAGACTAAACGCTTCTCAGGCATAATACTGCCATCTACTGTTCAGTACCGTCTCAGTTCATCTCTCTCAACTTGCCGTAGTTATTTTCGAGCGTAATGGGAGATCTCGCAATCGCTAGTTTGTTGCCTCTGCGCTGCCGTAGCGCAAAGATGTCAGCCTCCATGGCTGCGAGACCCGCTCCTATGTAATTATAAATAACGAATTCTAAGGCAACGCAAATGTTATGGTTAAAAGGCTGAGCTCATAGGTGATGATAAATAACATAGTTATGTATAATATATTAAATTTCTGAATTTATATGCCTGTAATTATTACACACTGTAGCTTTAATGAAAATAGCCACAAAAAAATCTATCAATCTATCATATTTTTATAAAAAAAATTTTGGATTGTAGAACTCAAATAAGCTCTCTTTGAAAACATCCATTTTAATTTACATGCATCAGTAAATACATTTTATTTATTGATTTTTATTTATTTTATTTTGCAAAAATGATGTTATTCTGAATAGCTTGCATTCAAATAGGTGGGATAAGGGACGCTTGGAACACTTTAGGAAACATGAAAATAAGATACGTTGGAATCAGACACAACCAGAACATTTCTGCTTAATCGTGCAGGTCTGGGTGGGTTCAGATCAGTGTTGGACAAGAAATGTGGACCATAATGTCCATGACCAGAGCTGATATTAAATAGATTATCCTAAAGTTTATTAAATATTAATGCACTTCTGCGATGGGCTAGCAACCTCTCCAGAGTGTTACTTTCCCCATAGACTGCAGGACACAGGCACCAGCCCCCAGTGACCCTGATGGATTAAATCAGTCATTAGGCCTAGTTATAGTAAAGTTAATGTTACCATTGAAATACTGCTTTGCATTGTAAATAAAAAAAACAAACAACCAGATTTTTATCTCTTTATTGTTGCTGGGCCAATTTCATCCTCTGGTAATCCCATTTTACTGATTTGTGCAGCTGTCATCAGTATGCAGGTTAGGACAGCGTCAAATATTCAAATGTATTGTGCTCAGTATTAAGCCCTTTTACACAAACCAGGGCAAAAACTGCCAATTAATTTAATTAGAATATAACATTCTGTCACAAAAACAGAGAAGTGGTTAACATAAAGGATTTCAGCAAGAGGGTTTGGGGTTTGATTCCCGGCCTGGGGTCTTTCTGTATAGTTTGCATGTTCTCCTTATGCATGCGTGGGTTCTCTCAGAGTACTCCGGGTTTCCACCCACAGTCCAAAAACATGACTGTTAGTTTAATTGGCTTCTGTAAATTGTCCTTAGGTGTGAGTGTGTGCATGAATGGTTGTACATCTTTGTGTGTCTCTATGCTGCCCTGCGACATACTGGCAACCTGTCTAGGGTGTACACCACCTCTCGCCCATATACTGCTAGAGATGGGCACTGTAACCCTGATGGAATAAGCGGGAAAAGATGGATGGATAGACTTAATGTAATGGTTTACATTCAGTTCCTTCCAGGTTTCACTAATCAATTACTTTTTTTTTTTCTGTCTTTATGCTGCACAGGTAGGACAAACTCAGTGTTGGTTATGATGGGTCTAGTTTGACTCTCACCTAAACTGCATCCTACAGTCAGGTGCGCAAATCAGTAGAATGAGATTAGAGGAGAATGAAAATGTTCACCAACAATACAGAGTTGAACATCTATGATTTCTTTTTCTTAATCTACAATACAACACTATATTTCATAATGTTATCATGACCAAGTCAAAGATTGACAGCATTAAACGGTTTAAAGTTCACTGTAAAACTTTCTGTCTCTGATCATGCGTCTCCTAAACAGAAATCCATCCATGAAACATTCCCAGAGTGTGAAAGACATCAGTGTCTCTTTCTTACCTTGCAATGGCAGGACTTCATTCTCGTGAATCATTATGCTAAGCTGGAGGACGAGCTGTGGCGCGGACTTCAGGAAGGCCTCCAGCAGGCGAAGCATGGTAATGTCGGCGCTCTCAAACATCAGCCTCCAGTGGAAGTGACGACGGGGCCCGTTGCTGTGCCATCGGCTTTGGGCGCCCAGGTAAAGCGTGTGGACATATCTGAGGATAAGAGACAGGAGTTTGGAATGGTGACATTTTAATGGTCAACCCTTCAAAATCCAGTTTAGTTGGCATTTTGCCTTTCAAAATGTCTGAAGACATGTGACAGCTTTGTCGCTCGCTGCTCTAGCCCTTGCTTGAAATCTGACACTTTCTCTGTTGCTGACAGGTCAAGCTTGGTTGCAGACCACTCCCAAAACCAATATATCGTATCCCATATAACCTTTCTCTTCTGTAAGTTTGTATTTGGGGACCATATTTTTCAGCTCAACTGTATCAAAGCTGACATCAGATAAATAAAAAGCGAAATGAGCTAAATATGCAACCTATTGGGAGCAAACAGGATGGTGCATTGGTTAAGAACATCAGGTTTCCAGTGCTTCCAATAAATAGCCAGCATACTGTACTATGCTAACACCAGCCCATTTTTTTACTAAATCAAGGTCCATTCAAGAGGTCTGAACCACTGGAAGCTGCATGTTCCTCATTGTGTCTCATAGTGTGCCATTACACTAACGAATGGTCTGTATTGTATTCTAACATCCATATAGTTCTATTGTTAATCAGTCAGTGACCCACAGGATACTCCTTATACTACCTTAAGGCATACCTGAATGCCTTCTAGATTTCATCAACTATATTATCTTATACATTATTTATATTTTTTGGCATTTTTTTATTTTCTTAACAAAGTTAGGCTTCATATTCTCTCCAAGTATTATGTAAATATGAGAAAGAAATATTCTTCACAAAACTATATCTACGAAGTTTATTTGAGGAAATAAAGAGACCTCTCAAACTAATTTTAAAGCTCTTTTTTTAGTCCTTTAGTACCTCATATTTCCTATTTAATTTTACTTGCTCTTAAGTAAAAGGTTCTGATTTTCCAAAGAAATCAACCAGGGCAGGAGATAGAAAAAAAATATCAAAGGAGTATTTGTAGTTCACTAGTAAATACAGATAGATGTCAGTTTGACAAATGTTGGAACAAATTGGGTTTCTGTAAAAGCTAAAGGAAAGATCACCTATAAACATATGAGAGAAGAAACAAAGTAGTAAAAAGTATAACTGAAAAAGCAGAAGATATTTTTACCACATGCTGGTTGTGTTTGACGTGTGACAAACATCTTATGTGTATCTTTGGAAGAAGAGTATGAGCCTAAAACAGTATTTTATTTTCCAAAGAAAACATCTAACTCTATCTGATGAAACCAAACCTAAACTTTAAACCACAAAACTCTTAAAAAAAACATTTCCAAAGGACACCATAACCACAGTGATACACGGCGATGGTGCCATCATAATCTGTGGCTAGACCTTATTTCCGATAATAAAACATCCATTTAAACAGGTTTTGCAAGGGATTGTGGGCAATTATTATCAAGTAAAGATGTAGGATAATGAATCATAAAAAAGACTGAACACTGAAATTAAAACAAAATGCATTTCTTGACTGACTTGCTTGTTTTTCATTTAAATTATAGATGATAAACTACATGTCAAATGTAGGGCTGAAACAATAAGACGTGTTTAACAGATTATTGAAATAATAGTCAAAACATTTGGTAATCTAATCAAATTGTTTACTTGCGCATACAGACATTAAAACATGCCAACAACCAGCTCAAAGCAGGATTTAAGCAAAAACTATACTAAAAAACAAAAACAAAAAACAAAGTCTTTTTAAGGTAAAAAAAAAATGATTTTTCTCTAAATATAATCTATCCAAACCTCCTTGTTTAGTTTTAGTTCCAACTGTTTCAAATCCTGGAAAGTATTAACAGTATTACATACTGTTCAATAAATGAACAGTATGTAATAAATAAGAGTTTTTAATTAAGAGTATTTTTATTTGAATGTGCTTTACTGGAGACATGTTAAGAACAATACTGCCACCTATCGGTTTATGATGTAACGGTGCGGTATCGGCTGTTAAGCAAGTCCCAGCACTGTATCTGGTGTTTGTCACAATGCACTATTATCCAAGTCATCTTGAAAACATTATTTTTCCAAATGTTGGCTACATATTACATGTTTTTTCCCTGGCCAGAGGTTCAATGGCAAATCCTCCCCCTTCAAGTTGGCAATCCAACGACCAGGACCGCAGTAATCCGTCCGTGGAGGATCATGAATCAGCAAGGTGAAATAGCAATTTTTTTTTCACTTTTAACAATGTATTACAACATCTAATTGCCATGCATGTAGGCATTGTCAGTTTAACTAATTTCAAAGGAGAAGTCCTCTCTAAATCTTAAATAATTGTTTTTGACTGCAGATGTGTTTAGGAGTTCCCACGGCTGCAGCCTGCTTCTGAAGGAGCTCCTCAGAGCCCCAATAGAGGGAGTGAGAGGCATTGATTATGGTGGAAAATCCTCTAATCCTCCACTGTAGAAACCAGAGGGCAGGCAAATGGTGAACTGGTCCCAGTTTATCCCTTCACCCAAACCTAGCATTTCAACAGATGTGTTTCAACAATTTATTTCTATGGAAAAGACCCTGCCTGTTTCCTAGGATTGCGAACTGGTTGATAGGCTAAGGAGATAACTTACCCATCCCTGTTATTAGAGTACCGACCACCATCTTATCTGCATTTTGCCTCATCAGGATAAGTTTTCGTCTCTATAAAAATATTCTAGCTAGAGCCAATCACTGACACATGCTTACTTTATAATGCTGTGTGTATTTCCCTATCCTGTCAAATGACCCTACAGCTCACATTACTGTACTGCTTGGGTGAACCCCCCACAATTCTACTCTGCATCATGCTGGTGAAGATTCTCAGTCATCCAGGTCATAGTCATTCCAAAAAAGTAAAAAAAAAACAATCCACTGGACTTTGTTGCAAAGTTTGAAAACATCTCTCTTTCCATTCAGGAAGCTTTTTCAATTCAAGCTTTTTCAAGCCTTGTTTTGGCTTATGTTTAGTGGCACTTTTTCTATTTGGACAGAGAGGATAGGTGGTTTGAGAGGGGTGTGAATGAAGCCATGTATGTTAAGAAAGAAAAACCAACCTTAAACAAGAGGGTGGATTTCACCAAAAGCCTATAATTCAGTGATTGAGTTGGTTCCTTCCGGTTATCATTGCAACCCCCACCCCATTACAGGGGACCAGAGCACCTTGCCTCTTCAGCTGGGCCAACAATTCCCTTTAATGTACCCCTCTTTTCAGATACTTATACAGGTTTTGGGTAATACAGGCTAACAAAGAAACAAAACGAACCCCATTCCAAAGGGGTGGACCGGCTCATCAGGTTCAATTTGCATGTTTCTAAGCCAAAACAAGGCTTTGCTTTGGTCCACTCTATAAAGCCTTAAACTCAACGCTATTTCTGACATTTTGGATTGAAAAATCTTCCTGAATGGGAAGCGAAACATCTTTAAACTTGGCTTTTTTTTTTCCTACTTTTTTGGACCAACTCTGCATCACTTTTATCATCAGAATGTTCAAATAAATACAGCCTGTCTCCACCCTGGCACTCCTGTCACACATACACAAACAGCAGAAAGAAGGACGTGAAAATCCTGTTATAATATCAACCCAGTTTTACTCATCAGACTGATACTGATATGTAACAAAAAAGACAGTGAGCTTAAGAAAGTTTAGTTTCACTCAATCCTCCTTGTCTCTTTTTGGGTCTTTCCCACAATAACGTCACATAAGGCCCACCGAAGCATCCTGGGAGTGTAGTCTAGAACCGTAGGAGAGATGTGTTAAAGAGGAGAGCTAAAACTCTGAGAGGAAGTGGGATGACAGGAACATCCTGCACATCTGGCTCTGTTAGCAGATTTTAAAAGGAGGAGTAAAAATAACCGGGCAGTTTATGCACTAACAACGATCCATACGCTGTCAGCTATACTCCGCTGTAAAAGTGACAAAGTTTGATCCCACACCACACTCATATGCCTAGAGGCACATTTATACTTGGTCAAGTCACTGAAATTTGCAGCATATCATTTCTAAATGTGTGTACAAGCAGAAACACACAGCAGTGGAGACAAGGAGACAGACAGGCAGGAGGAACACGGCTGCCATGGAATCTGTAGCTCTGTAAATCTGCTACTCAAGCAGTGTTGACACTGCTCCATTCAGTCCCCATGCCCCTCTGTCTACTCAGCTCTTTCAATCGTTCAGCCTAAAGCATTTTCTGCTGCCATTTATTATATTAATTTAATTCTCTTCAATATAGTTCATTTATATGGAGCCAATTAAACAAAATATTTAATCTGAGGGCGCTCCATGAAACAAAAAAGACCTGTATCATTTCCATTTATATGAAAATACACAATATATCAAATTTGTTCCAATACAATACAATCATAGACATACGCCAGATTCAAAGACACAGTCCGTTCTGACCTGAAATGTTATACAAGGCTCTCTTGTTCTGTTTATAATCTGAATTAAACATTTTCTTTGTAAAAAAAAAGCTAATATTATTGAGTTTTTGCAGAGATCCTTTCTACTCAGAAAACATTTAGCGGACCCTTTTACCTAAAGCAGCACACTGACCACTATGCCATCTGATCTATAGCCATCGTTTCTCGCTGTGATTAGTTTAGCCACCTTCAGATTTAATTTTCAAGCCCAATTTAGTGACATTTTGCTTTAGTATAGAAAAAACTAACCATCGATTGTTTTTTTCATCTATTTTGGCTTACTTCTGGTGGACCACTGGTCGGGGAAAGAGTGATGAGGTCCAGTGTAATTAAAAAGTATTTAAAGAGTAATTTCTAAGGTTTTTGTTTCCATCGAACCACCATAAGAACCATTGATTAGAGACAGAAATCATAAAATAAGTAGATGAAATCCATTTATAGAGGCTTTTTTCCATCATACCAAACACTTACAGTGCTAAACACAACTGCAGCTTTCACCCAACCATAGTTACAAACCCTCTCATAACTGCAGAGATTGTAGGCAGGATTAGAAGTCTTGCTGATGGGCCCAATGGCATGTGCAAACTAAGGGTTTGCACATGCCATTGGACCCATCACAAGTT